CATCACCACCTCGAAGGAGGATACAGCCGGAGCACCACCACCTCCTCGGATACAGCCCTACAAAAGGGAGAGGAATCCACACAGAAAATTTGAAAAAGAACATGCAGCAAAAATTGACTCCTATACACAAAGGATAGCAATTTATAGTCTCACTAGACAAAGGAAACTTCTACACAAAAGGAAGAGGTAAGACGAAACTAGAAAATACTTCCTAAGTGAAGACGGGAGTGACAGACTCACGCAACAACTCTCGGATCGCAAAGGTTTGTGATCCCGCCCTCCTGCCATCATGCATCCTTCTGCACACATGAGAGATCACGATCTGCCCCGCTTCCGCTCCGCTCCCGCCCACGCAAAGCTTCGCAGTGGCCCACGCCGGATCATAGCGCACTATGTCACCACACCTCCTAACCAGTTGGTTCCTCCTTCGGTCGTCTACAACAGGTTGTCCCACCTTCCAAGGGCCTTCCAGCAACTCATCCACTTCCACACCCATAGCAGCCACCGAGCCCCTCTAGCCCCTTCCAACATGCCTCCAGCTACCATCCCTCTCTGTCACACCGGATCCGCCGCCATACAGGATTGTTTCTATCTCGTGCTTAGTCAAATTTTGCATTTGTTATTTCAATTAACACTCATGAGTTATTTCGATGGTCGTTTATGTGTTATTTCATTTATTGCTTAAGAGCTATTGTTTGTGAAGAGCTGACATTGTACTCATTTTAAAATTCAGCAATAAAATTTGTCACGTCTGAGTCGTGATTTGGGTTAACAATGTGTCGCATCATCCATAGCATGAGATGCATTGAACCCGGTTTCTTGAAAGCACTAAAAGCTTTTGAAATGCTAGTAAATGAGAAGTAATTAGCACCAAAAATAAAAGCTAGCAAGGAAGTGAAGAGAGGAACCACCAAGAAGAAATAAACTCTAATAGGAAAACAAAAACCAAAGAACGGAGACGAAATGATTATGAAAAATAGTGAGGAAAATCAAACAATCATGCTTAGTTATTGTGGCAGATGCCAAATCAAACTATTATATTTGAAGTTTGATTTTATTATAAAAAGGTATTTTATTATAAAAATGTACCAAGGGCATGACGCTAAGACACTACACGTGCACTTTGCTGCAAACTTACACTTCACATGCAAGCAATGAATAAGATTACTGCATGGCGTCATTTCACCTCAAAAGCATGCATTAAAATATGTTTTTAAAGACACTTACTATATCTACCATAGATTTGAGCCTAACTCAATCCCTAAAATACACAAATTTCTCTTAATTGGGGTTCTCATCTTTCTCTTACATTTGTTTCCGCTCGTAATAAGTTCACAATCTTCTTTACTTGGTGTGTGCGCTTTCTCCCCTTTTGGCTATTTTTATTTTATATTGGACTTTTGTCAGGCAACTCAACATGTGACCTGGGAAAAGATAAGTCGGTGAGCATATTAACCATTTGATTTAGATGATTGTTTTTCAACAAAATCACTCAATAGATGAGAAATATATAATTCCATTGTATGATCAGATGATCTTTTAATTGATGTAAAATTCAAATAAAAAAATTTCAAAAAAATCTCACGAGTACTTTCAGCTACCCTGAATTGCTCCTCATCCCAATGCAATGTTGGAGAGCATGAATTTAATTACACTTCTACAGATAAGAAATAATCCTTCTTTATTTATATTTGTACTTCAAAAAGGGCAAAAGAAAAAATCTTTAAATAAATACCATCATGGCAGCTTTTCTATTCATCTCTTCCCTAAAGACTTATTTATCCCTCTTCCATTTAATGCGCCAATTTGTTAACATCTAAACCAAATTTATAAAGGGATGGCCTGGAGCAATGGACAGTTTGCCACCATTGTAATCTAGAAATCATGCATTCAAGTTACAAAAATAGTTTCTATATAAATACATCCTTTGTTTGACAGAATTTTCTAATTAGAGGAGAGAAGTAAGATTTCTATTCAACCATTTTACTGCAATGAACATTTAGTGAGATACCTACGAAACAAGTGAAAAAACTTGAGCATTGAAAATTTTTTTACAAAATAAATAGCTTAAAATTAGTAAAACAAAGATTTAATTTATGAAATGCAATATTAAAAATTAATGGTCAATAATATTACAAGTAAAATTATGCATAAGTATAATAAGTTGAAGCAAATTACATCTATTATAAAAAAATAATAATGATATAGATGAAAGACAATAAAAATCATTTGGTGTTTTATTATTATTATTATTATTAAAAGGATCATTTGGTTTATTAGTTACTATCACTATGCTTGGTTGAAGATGTTTGATATCGGAACTAGTTCAGAAATCAGCAGAAATGGAAGCAAACTTTATTAATCAATGGTTAGGGTTACAAACAAGATTCAATTGAAAAAAGTTGCAACAAACACTAATCTCAGTTAGGGCCAAATAAGAAGGTACGAGGCGACAATGGTACCTACAAGGGGATTGTAGTAGTGTAGGAGAGGGAACTATGAGAAGAATAAGAGATTGCGGTAGTGGTTAGAGAAGGTGAAGGAAGTGTAGGCTGGAGGGCTGGGCAGCAGAGGAAAACAGCTAGGGGAAGGCGCAGGTTGACTGGCAGCACGGTTCGGAAGGCTGGGAGAGTGCAGGTGGATTGGAAGGTTGGGCAGCAGGTTCTGGAAGGCTGGACAGCATGTTTGCAAGGCTGGAAAGCAAGTTTGTAGTAGTAGAGGTGGGGGGATGGCCGGCGGCTAGCGGAAGTGTAGGAGATGGGTTAGGGAAGATGATAGGGGAGGATACGACACGACCACAGAGAAGGATACAGCTGAAGCACCACCTGTCGTCCGATATAGCACTAGCTGGGAGAGGAGAAGACTCCAAGAGAAACTCTAAAACAACAAAAAGCAAAAGCTGAATCTTAATTTCCAGAAAGCAGAAATTAAAGACTCCCATAAGGAAAGAAACCAGAAAGGCAGGACAGAAAAAAGAAAGAAAGGGGGAAGAGCCGGCGGCAGCGCCACCCCTCCCAAATTGCTGCTCGGTCCCGTTGAGACCTGGAACGGGGCATTAGATGCCCTGTTCCCTCCCCCTGCCAGCCGATTCAGCTGACTGGCTCCCTAGCTCCGCATCATTGTTATATGAAAGCAACAGCTGGCTCCCCTGCTCTGCATCATTGTTATAAGAAAGCAAATGTAGGTAGTTGTTGTGAGTACAGTGCTAGAGTTATTCAGCTGCACCAGTGGTGCAGAAAATTTCTTCTTTGAGAAAAACGGCATGAAGCTGTTTTATAAAACCGCTCATGGATTTTTCAGCGTTATAACGGAACGTAATATTTTATCATAAAATAATTTCTTAGATTAATTTTGGTGAAAAAATAAGAAATTCATCCAATAATTACAAATATAATAGCACTTTTAAAGTATGGTGATCCGCAGCAAAGGGCTGTTGTTGGCATAGGAAGACAGTGGTCAGTCGATCGAGAAATATCCATATAAATCAATTGGTCAGCGCAGGAAAATGAAGCTCTACGAATTGCCATGACAACCTCCAAACCATACTCACAAAAGAATAAAGAATGGTGCGATGATAGCTGTACAAGCCCTGCTCATTATTGCAGAGGATGTTTTTTTTTTCTTTCCTTTTTTTTTTTTATTTTCCCAATGTGATCTTAACAAGAACTTTCTGCCAGTTGATTCAAAATAACTGTCGAAAACCATCCTCTCAATACAATTATGTGAGTTTCTTTCAACAAAGAAACGAAAATATTATCATCCGAACACCTATCTGTTGTTTGGAGGAAGCCTTGCATAAAGCAAAACAGAAAGGATATCAACCAAGTAGAGTACGATAAACCTTATAATACTATAATTAGGTCCACTACGTAAGAGAATTAGGGTTAAGTACTGAAAAACTGTTAATCATTTAATAGAAAAAATAAGAATGTTAAGATAGATATGATACAAAATAATTAGGGGGTATATTAAAAGGAAAGAATTGGATGATATCTATTGAGGATAATATAGGGGAAACAAAACTTGGTTAGTTTACATATGCACTACTACAATAACAAGAAGCCTTTTATCCCACTAAATTAGTTCGGCCACATGAACCCTTTTTCTCCATTGGGTAGAAAATATACCCATGTAGGGTAGATAAAATTAGTTTTGGAGGATTACAAAAGAAAAGAATAGACACCAATGATATAAGGATATAAATTGTTTGAAATGATTTAAGAAGAATAGGTTTTAACACATTAACCAACAATCAATGACAAATGTAAAATGAAAATTCATATAAGTCAACTTTAAATAGTTGGGATATGGTGGACGATGATGATGATGATACATGTTCTTCAGAATTTCATAACAAATAATATGATGAAATAACATAGAAGAATAATTTAATAAATCTAGTAAACAAAACAAAATAGTGGAGAAAGATACCATTGGTGGGAAAATCCTTCAAATGACAAGCAACTCCAAAAATGATAATCATAGATACTAAGAGAAAGCTTAATGTTGAACATGATTTACATAATTGAATAACAGTTTATTTCAAGCAGAAATATCCAAAACATTAAACACTTGTCTACTAAATAGTATGATCGTCATGCTTAAAGTAACTCCAGTAAAGGGGCCTTACAAGAAATGACGGGTATCTTAAGCTGAAAAAGCAAGTCCATCCAGGATTACCATTGATTTTTTTACAATATCCAAAAAAATTGCTATAAAGAAAATAATCCAACCCATGGCTAAGCATCTACTAAATTCTTGTATAAAGTATGCATTATGGTAATAAATAAGGCCGACATTAAAGTTCTTCTGAACAGTACATAAAAGATGATTACGGTTTAAAAAAGAAAAGGCAACTCATGACAATAGAAACTTGAAAATAACACACCAACATGAAATTATAAGCATGATATACCAGAGAAAGACAATATAAGTGACATAAAATGTGTAGAATGGAATTATTTGGAGGCAAACCAGATGATATGGACTAAAACACTTACGTCCAAACTTTGGGCTTCTATCACTGCAGCCATAGTAAAGTTTCGCAAAGTCTGATTTCCAAATATCAATGTCGTAATGAGTGGCACCCTACAAATAAAGTCAAATCAGTAATATACAACAGCAATAATATTCAAAAAAACAAGGTAATAAACAATTTGTTCATATCAAAATAAAAAATCTGTTCAAAACAGAATTCTGCCATAATGAAATGTCATTGTTTCCTTATCGATGTAACATAAACGAAAAAACCAAGAGCTGTTCACTCATGTTTCTATCAAGCGATTCCAGAATTTAGAGAAATAATCTGAAAGAAAGTTCTTCTATGAGCATTGTTAGGACAGTGAGCAATAAGCCACTAAATTTGTGCACCTTTCCCAGTATTGTATTTGAACCAAATGATGCTGTAACTTCACATAGTATGACAATTCTGTGCATAACAATATCTATCATATATAAATTTGTTTATATTTTTATAAATTTATATATGTTATGGAAAATACTAAGTAAGAAGCTTGTTTATTAGGTAACCTAACAAGAGGAAATTTAATTTCAGATCTTTTCTATTAGGTGTATTCCTAATCTTTAGATAGAGGAATGTCTATAAGTATGTAACATATGACTTCAATTGGGGGCATTTAAGCAACGCACACCTCCTTTGTTCAGCATCATTCTTCGCACACAAGTGCGGCCTTGACGTCTTTGATCATTGTCTCGATCGTCATCAACCTGCACTGTGTCGTTCGTCAAAGCCTCCTCTTCAATCGTCTGCAACTTGTTCTTCATCGCCGGCTTCATTTGTGACTTATTCATCATCGTCAGCTTCATCTGTGACTTCCACTTTGATTGTTGTTCAAAGAGCACTTTCTACATCGTCTACTTTCTTTGGCTTCGGCTTTGGGCACGACGTATGAGTCGAACCACTTCTGCGACTACTTCGTTTGCAACATCCGCACCTGCTTGGTGTGTGAAGGTGTATTCAGCTTCATTTGCATCATCATGCATTTCGTCTTCGTCTTTTGTCGTCACCAGCACTCATCTACATTGATATGGGTCAAGGGGATGTGGACATCGATGAACCTTAATATGCTCTGAGTCGATCTATCTGCTTCAATCTGAATCATTTTCTTAGGTCGGTTTGTTCAACTGCTACTTTCGGTTGCTTCGTTCATTTAGTTTGTTGTGCTCAGCCGATCCAATTTTTTTTCATCTGAACAGTTGTGGGTGGATTGTCTGTGGACGAGTTTTTTATCTCATGATCGTAATTTCGCCTCATCCTTTGGTACAAAATGGCATCATTTATGATTGGTGAACAAAAATATCTTCTGGCAAATTTAATTTCGGAAGTGGTTAAGATTACGGATGAATAGTTAAATGTCATCGATTATTTTTATTAGGAAAAATTGTGAGACTCCACTTAAGAAGTATCTCCCAAAAAAGTTACCTCATTGATAATCCCTTAGCTGAGATAGAGCTGAATTACTCTAAGTGGATTAGAGTTGATGCACAGCTCTTAATACAAATATTGAACACCATCAAACCAGATCAATCTGGGCATATCACTCATCATGACTATTTAAAGATGAGATGGAGAAATTGGCATTTGTGTTTTAAGGAAGAGAATATTTCTGGAATCTTTTATTTATGCAAAGAATTCTATCGACCTAAACAACAGGATCAATCATTGAACACTTATCACATGCACTTTAAAAATGTTTATGAAGAATTGAATGTTTTATTGCCCTTCAGTACTTGTATTCAAATTTAGCGGACTCAAAAAGAATAAATGACTATTATGAGTTTTCCAGCTGGCCTCAACTCTCAATATGAAGGGGAATCTCAAATCTTATCTTATCCAACTGCGCACAATTATGAGTTCTCAGGCCTCCTCCATACAACAACCTAGTGTTTCGCTAGTCTGGAAAACTACAGACATCAATAAACCTCAGTCTCAAGAAAATTACATAAGTAGAACTTCAAATTTTAGAAATTAAGGTAGTGTTTTATTACTGCATTAAACTAGTCATATGAAGATGTGTAAGAAATTGTTGAAAAATAACCATAAGGGTTCTACAGTTAGCTCGCATAGTTACTAATAATGAGTCTCCACAGAGTCAGACTCTCTCGATCTCCGCAGAAGAATATGCTAAGTTCATCAAATTCCAGTAAGCATCCTAGAAATCCCCATCTATCATTGTCTTTGTTGAGTCAGGTAACAATGATACTTGCATTCTTTTCTCTTCCACATAATCGGTCACTGATTTTGGTGTATTAAATCACATAATAGGAAATCCAAAACTCTCTACTTTTCATAAGCACCTTTCTTGAGTCACCTTAGCAAAGGATCTACCTCTAATATTTTTGGTCCTAGCACCATCAATGTTACACCCATATTGCCTCTGATTTTTGTTCTAAGTTTACTTTAATTCGCTTTTAATCTTGTCTTTGACAGCAAAATCAAACCTGAATATTGTATCTTATTCTTTCCCGACCATTGTCTATTTCAAGACCTTGGTAAAAGTCGAGAATTGAAGGGGCCATATATTGTGGATAAGAAAATACTTCAACCCGTAGCAGATTCTAACACCTTATCTCCTTTTGAGATACATTGTCAATTAGGACATCTATCACTATCAACGCTGAAAATATTGTGTCCTCAGTTTCAACAATTATCTTTGAAGTGTAAGCCATGTCAATTTGCCAAACACTATCGTTTGTCTTTTGGTCTTATAATTAATTAAAGAGTCGATCATAGTTTTGAGTGGGTTCATTTTGATACATGAGAACCTCGTCTTGTTTTATCGAATGGATTTTGGTACTGTCACTTTTGTGGGTGATTTTTTCTTGTATAACTTGGCATTATATTATGAGATCTCATTTTGAATTATTCTCACACTTTCAATCATTTTGTGTTGAAATTAAAACTCAATTCGATGTTTCAGTATATGATTTTGAGAAGTCATAATGCAAAAGAATATTTATGCACCTTTACAGACATATAAAATAAAATGGGATGCTTCACCAATCCTATGTAAATACTCCATCTCAAAATTAAGTAACTGAAAGACAAAATAGACATTTCTTGGGATGGTCGGGGCTTTTTTGTTTCAAACAAATATGCCTAAACAGTTAAGGGTAGTCTCTACAGCATGTTTTGATCAATCAAATGTCTTTGTCTATCCTACAGAACCCTACCAAATTTTATTTTCCGATAATTCTCTCTTTCCTATTGTACCAAGCATATTTGGTTGTACTTGCTTTGTTCATGATACCCATCAACAAGTGTCCAAACTTGACCTTAAGTAACTAAGATGTCTTTCTAGCATACTCTCGTATGCAAAAAGAATATCGATATTTTTCTCCTCCTACACAGGTATATGATATATGTTTATTTCACCTTTCAAAAATAAACCACATTCTTTGGTGACTCATCGGCGTTTAAATCTTCATCAAATTTCAATGAGTTGTTAATGTATCACATAATTAATTCATATTCTACTTTAGCTCCATTTCCAATACTTCAATCCAAACCATCTTTCAAAAATGTTTACTCAAGAAAACCTCGCTCCCCTGATTTTAGTTCGGCATCAATATCATCTTCCTCAGTGAATTCTCCTCCCAATGATCTTGATTTACCTAATGCTTGTCATAGAGGTAAACGTCAATGTGCCTATCTCATTTCCTCTTTTGAACTATAATCATTTATCTTCCACTTTGTGCTCGTTTGTTGCTTCTTGACTTTGTTGAGATTTCAAGATCTCAGCAAGGCCTATCTCACTCTGGGTGGAGGGCAACGATGTTTGATGAGACGAATGTCTTAACAGGAAAATGGAATGCGGGAACTAGTTTAACTACCTTCTGAAAGGAAGATTGTTGGTTGTAAGTCTTTGCATTTATGTTACATTTTGATAGAACTGCAGCTCGTCTCAAAGCTCGATCGTTAGCTAAGGGCTTTGCTCAAACTTATGGAATCGACTACTTAGACAAATTCTCTTCGGTAGCTAAGTTAAATTCAGTTTGCCTACTCTTGTCATTGGTTGCACTGAATAATTAGCTCCCACACCAGCTGAATGTGAAGAATGCTTTTCTGCATGGTTTTTTTCCTTTTGCATTTCTTTTATTTTTCTTTTGGTGAGTTTTGAAGATCTATGATGAGACGTTTGACCTTATTGGTTCTTCTGGATGATCTGTTTATCACTACCAGTTGGGGTCAAATGTTAAATCCCAATGAAGGCAACCAAGTTTCTCTCCTTTTTTCTGGATGATCTGTTTATCACTACCATTTTTTTCTTCTTTTGGATGGTCTTTTTTTGGTGATATGCATATGTAACACACAAATTTGGTATTATGTGGGCTAAAGGCAATCAATAAACTTTTTTTATAAGGTTTATTGTCTGCTTATACTGACAGATTCGTTGGTTTATATAATGAGTACTCTAAGACCTCACAGCTGCATAAAAAAAAAATTAATTACTTATGTTATCAATTTTTACTTGTGTTATGTATACTTGGATGTCTTTTAAAGCATTCAGGAAAAATAAGCTCAAGGATTTTTAGTACCTCCAGAGGATTACACTGCTACTGTGAACTTCAATGTTTCCTACCAACTTAACGTCAGTACTATGGCTACGAGAATAAGTTTTACAAGTGTTTGCAAGTGTCCACGGCGAATCACGGAAAATTGACTTTTTTAAAATGGGCAGATAGGCTAGAAGATTTCACCGCTGATAGTGATCGAGCATGGAGAGTATCTCTAGATGACGACTTAGCTCGTGACATACGTCGTCTACATTTAAAAATAATATTATCATATTATTACTTATTATTTTAATAGTATATTTCTTAATTTTAGTAGTCATGATAATCATTGTTAAGTGATGTCTCTATTTTTTTTTTTTAATGTTCTACAATGGATTTCTGCTTCTAAAGTATAAAATATATTAGTATGAAAGTTCTTTTGCAAACAGTATTATTATACAGGGGCAGAACGATCATTTATCCATAAGCAGTTGTAGTACAACTATTTTCAAATTGCAAAAAACAAACAGACAGCCAGTTTATCCGCAACATCTTCTGCGCAGTAGTTTCCT